GACAGAGGTTGTGACTGGCAAATCTGGCATCTGTAATCTCACCAGAATGTTAACAATTTAGAAGAAAATGGCATTTAAATAGGTCTTTGAGAATAAGCGAAGGCATTTATAACCAGTAGTGATTGGGTTTTTGTGGTTTTTTTGGGCTGTGTGGCCATGTTCTAGAAGAGTTTCTTTCTGACGTTTCACCAACATCTGTGACTGGCATCTTTCTCTGAAGATGCCAGCCACAGATGCTGGCAAAACATCAGAAAGAAACTCTTCTAGAACATGGCCACACAGCCCGAAAAACCCACAAAAAACTATGGATGCAGGCCATGAAAACCTATAACTTCAATGTAGTGGTTGGGTGTGTTAACCACCAAGTAACTTCCAGAATCGTTCTCCTTCAGGTGTTTTCTTGTAAGCATGATGTACCCATAGAATTCCATTCTATGTGTGAACCTGTCCATCATGTCTGCAGTTGGAGGCTAAAAAAGAGAGGCTAAATGAATAATTCTTATGTTGTTCAAGATTTTCTTTCAGTCAAGAAACAAAGGGTTTGTGGCTTCTCAGAATTGGATAGCAGTAAATAAATGTGTCTCATTGAACCTAGCACTTTTTCCCTTGCAGCCCTGGGAGTAGACAGACTATTGTTAGTAATTGTTTAAATCAGGGGTAGGCAACCTTTTTGAGCCAGGGGCCGGGTTGCTGTCCCTCAGACAATTGGGGGGCCGAAGCACCAAAAATAAATAAAAATAAAAAAATATATTTTTAAAAAAAATAATTAAAAAAAATATGCATGCACACTTTCTCAGCCTCAGAAAAGCCATGGCAAAACCCCTGTGGAGATTTTGCCAAGAAAACCCCAAGAACTAGTAATAACAACAATAATCAATATCATCATGGTGAGTGGTGGCGGTGGCGGCAGGACAGGCCTGGGGCCGGTCCAAAGGCCTTGGGGGGCCGCATCCGGCCCCCCCGGGCCTTAGGTTGCCTACCCCTGGTTTAAATAATCCATCACTTTTGCAGAATGTTTTAGTGAAAATTGGAGAAGGGCAAGAACGCAACATGAAACCATGAATGATACATTCACTGCATTTTGCTTCTCTTCTTCTCTGCCCTTAATAGCAAAATGAGAATTAAGTGATAAGTCCACAGTGATGAAGAGAGATGTAGTGCAGGTGAGCAGAAGAAGGGGTGGCTCACTCAACTCTGTTGGCAATATTGAACTTTATATACAAAAATATCTGCAGCTTTGTCACTGATTATGGGTTTCTAGTGCACTCACTGATCAGGTTATCTGATTCCTGGCTGATTTGTGCACAATGATGCCCGTGCAGATGGAAGCAGTTTAACAGTAACTGAATTGTGGTAACTCCGTAGCTTTTCTTTTTTTCACAGATGATGAATAAGGTATTTGGAGGTACAGTACACAAGAAAGATGTTAGAGAAGATGGAGTATTCAACATTACTGTAGATAACACGTGTTCACTGTTCAGGTATGCAAATACTTTGATTTAAAAAAGGGAAGGTGAGATTGGATTGGAGATGGTTTATAAAGGATGCTTTTTACAACTATTTTTTAAAACTTTCAAATCACAAGAAAATTAATTACTATTATGTAATAGCGCATCTGAATTGTTTTAGGTTGATGGATGTTTTGATTAAAGAATACCTTGATCAGTTAAATATGAATAGATGGAAACATTGTCATATTGAGCCATAATTGATTGGAAAATCATGCTCAAAGATTCATCATCAGTGGCTGTGTTTCAAACTGAATGGAGGTCCCAGGGTTCAGTCCTAAAGCCGTTACATTTCAACACTTAGATGATGGGGTGGAGTGAATCCTTATAAAGTTGGCAGATGATATAAAACTAGGAGTGGTGGCTGACACATTGGAAGATAGGAACAGAATTTAAAGGAACCTTGATAAACTAGAATTGAGCAGAATTTATAAAATAAAACTCAGTAGAGACAGATGAAAAATTCTACATTTAGGCCACAAAAACCAAATGAATAGGTATAGGATGGTGCAGGGTGGGTGGGGGGGATACATGGCTTAGCAGTACTACATGTGGAAAAGACTTTGGGATTATTTTTGATTATAAATTGAACTTGAGCCAGCAGTGTGATGCTGCAGCAAAGAAGGTGAATACTATTTTAGTCAGCCTAATAATAGAAGCTTAGTTTCTATGTTGAGGGAAGTAATAGTCATACTATACTCTGCATTGGTCAGGCCTCATCTGGAATACTGTGTTCAGCTCTGACCACCTCATTTTAAGAAGTATATAGACAAACCGGAGCACATTCAGAGAAGGACAATGATGATAAGAGATATGGAGAAAACATATAAGGAAAGGTTGAAGGAGCTGGGCATGTTCTGTTTGGTGAAGTGAAGACTGAGGGTTGACATGATTGTATTCTTTAAATAACTTTCACAGAGAGGAGGGGACATGTCTGTTCTCCACAGCCCCAGAGGGTAGGAACAACTATAATGACTTTAAGTTACAGGAAGGTAAATTTTTATTGAACATTATAAAGAACTTCTTGGCAATGAGAGCAGTTTGGCAATGAAACCAATTGCTTAAGAGAGGTGGTACGGTCTCTTTCTCTGGATGTCTTCATAAGAGGCTGGACAGTTACCTGCTGAGGATGCTGTACCTGGATTTCCTGCATTGAGCAGGAGGGTGTACTTTATGGTCCATGAGGCCCCTTCGAACTCTATAATTCTATATTGACAATGTTGTTGTTTTGTTTGATCATCCTGTTCTTGTATTTCTGTTTTTAGGGGACTTCAGAAAGAAGAGCTTGTGCTGCTCACACATGGAGATAGTGTAGATAAAGTAGCAGATGGATTCAAAGTTGTTGCACAATCTGGAAATGTTATAGCAGGTACATATTTTGCATGCCATTTAACTAATTGATTTCCTCATAAGGAATCTGTCTAATAAGTGTATAAATGTGTCTCAAGAAGTTTAACTCCAAACATTTCTCTTCTTAAACTCTAGGCTGAGCATGTTTTTAAAAATATTGCACCTAGGAAATTAAGCAGAAATTGAACAGTGTGGTGGTTGATTCTAATTTTCTTTTCTTTTTAAATTGTTTTTATTAAAATTTTACATACATTAAAAATTAAATATATCAAACAAAGTGCACACATTCTCAGTTTGTAGTGTCTCTTCAAGGTCAAAATGCATGGTGGAAATAAAGAGCTGGGTGTTGCACCTGAATTTTTAGGATGATTTACTTAAATAATTTAAAAATAATTAGTTTTCAGTAAAGCTGCATTTTGCACAAGTGAAAAGTTTTACATATTTAATGTTTAGTGGATATTTGTAAAAGTTATGTTTTAAAAAATTATCTGGCACTCTGTTCAGTATTTATGAGATTGTAAGGCGGACATATTATCTCATAACTTTTGGAATTCGTATTTACAGTTATGAATGACTGAACATAACCCCCAAAACCTACCTTTTAAGCCAGGCAGCACCCTAGCCAAAGGACTTCCAAGGCACTGTAGATTAAAGCACTGGGAAATGGTAACAGCAGTTATCTCCTGGTTGTGAGCGCATTGAGTAAAGCAATTGAGGCAGGGCCACATGGGTTTTCTTGACCTGCCTATTTTCAGTGTGCCCTACAACTGGGAGAGTGCTGCAGCCATCATTTACTAGTGCCTTGATATGTGGCATCTTGGAAAACCTTTGGTTGGGGCATTGCTTGGGTGAAAAGATAGGGTTTTTGATGGGTGGCATCTGCAGACCTAGCTATGATGATGGAGCAACCTTGTTGTAGTTAATGTCTGATGATGATGATGCTATTATGTGTTTACAAGCAGTTACTTCTTTTCATAGTCCAGAGCAATAGCTGTGACCTGAGAAAATATAACAAGGGCCTAAATTGAATTGGTAAATCCACTTAGTCAGTGGAATCCACATAACTATTGGCTTATCAAGTTCCAACTGATACAATAGGTTTACTGTAGTTGGGACTACCAATTGGAATTAGAACAATGTATTGAGGAAATTGAATGTTTAAATGCCTTTTATCAGGTTTATTGGAGTTTATCAAGTTGTCTTTCTTTGATCTTCTTGGTCTGTTCCTGGTAGAAAATGTTTATAGTAATTTACTAAGATGGTGTGCATATTTATGTTTGCAGGAAAAAAAATTCTAACAGTATTTTAACAAGGCCTTCCCCTGACTGGTTTTATTATTTTTGATACCTCTCTAGCTATAGCAAATGAATCTAAAAAACTGTATGGGGCACAGTTTCATCCTGAAGTTAGCCTTACAGTGAATGGAAAAATAATGCTGAAAAACTTCCTTTATGATATTGCTGGGTGCAGTGGAACATTCACAGTTCAAAACAGAGAATTGGAATGTATTCAAGATATCAAAGAGAAAGTAGGATCATCAAAAGTTTTGGTAAGGTTTGAAAGTTTGCCTCACATTTCTTATTTCTGTTAATAAGAGTTGTTTTTGAATATGATACTTATTTAGTTTCAGTTCTCAAATGGAACAATATGGTTTTTCTTAAATGTGGGGTGCTTTCCTCACTTGTTGGCCAGTGATTTAATTGTATTGTGAGTTGTATTCTATAAAGCAATTAAAATTAATGAAGCAATTGAATTGCTCTATTTGAATTGTGGAATTTTATTGAATGCTTTCTCTCTTTTTTTCAATCTTTTCAGGTTTTACTTAGTGGAGGTGTGGATTCCACAGTATGTACAGCATTACTGAATCGTGCTTTGAATCAAGACCAAGTGATAGCAGTGCATATAGATAATGGGTTCATGAGGAAGAGAGAAAGTCAGTCTGTAGAGGAGGCACTAAAAAAACTGGGAATTCAAGTCAAAGGTATTTACACTGTTGTTGCCGTGTGCCTTAAAGCTATTTCTGATGTGACAATTCTAAGATGAACCTATCATGGGGTTTAATTGATAAGAGTTGTTCAGAGAGGGTTTGCCTTTGCCTTCCTCTGAGGCTAAGTGAGTGTAACTTGCCCAAGTGGGTTTTTATGGCCAAGCAGGGATTTGAACCCTGGTCTCCAGAGTCATAGTCCAGCATTCAAACCCCTATACCACTGATTCCCAGAATGGGCAGTATGCCCTTCCTGGGGGCAGTGAAAGATCCGGGGGGGGGG